TCAGCAGGAGAGCTGGAAGCAGGTGAGAAGCAGCTCGGTTTCTTCAGAAGTGAGGCAGGAAAAGTGCTGAGTGTGCAGCATGTGGCAGAGTGGCGGGGGAGAGCTCTTGGGAGCACCAGGGCTGTGCTTGAAGAGCTGACAGAATACATAGTGTTCCCTGGAGCTCTCTTCCTCCCTGCTTCAGCTGCAGGAGAAGCAAGTAAGTGAATGGGGAAGGTCTGTCCCTCCGATCTCGTAATCGCACTGTAAGCAGCCCCCTCACCTCAGCATCCCAGCTTCTCACCAAGCACTTGACAGACAGAGCTCACTGAGCTGGATATGAGCATCCTAAATTTAGTCGATGCAGCTAAATGGTTCCTGCTGGTTTTAATTTACATTCATGCTTAATTTCTGCAGTTTTATTTTCTTCTCCCCTCAAGGGAGAAGCAATGGCTTTCCTGGAGGTAGCTTATGATTTTTCCAGGCAGAAATTGTTTCCATTCCAGGGTTATTGACAATACCCAAATATATGTCCAGGAATTGGTCAAAGCCAAGGAGCCTGATTTAGAGCTGCTGCTTCTAATGTCTAATAAAGCAATACTGCAAAAGGTCAGCAACGTTGCAGCCAGTCTCACCAACTAATGGCATAATCTGTTGAAGAATTAATTCCCTTTCCAGTCAAATAGAACAACAATGGGGAACATTAACTGTCTAACCTGAGTCTCATGTAGTGCTAATAAACCTGTTAACTGAGGCTGTTACCCAAATTACTGGAGTCCTGACCTTGGCCTGTGTTTCTAAGTGGGATTTTGCCATTCCTCTGGATATCAGCCTCAGTGCTGTAAGGCGGCAGCAGCAGCTCAACACTGTCCTTATGAGGGTCCATGCTCATGGCACAGCCTTGGTGCCCTTGCAACAGTGTTCTGCCTTTTTGCTGCAGTTGGCACTGAGAAGCGTTCATCATTCCAAGGTTATCCCAAGCCCTCTGACTTCTGAATCTTGTGTGGAGATAATAGCAGCATTTGCTTTGCTGTAAACACTTCCACTTGCTGTTGGTTTACCTTTGACCCATCAGCTCTTGTGCTTTTTAAATGCTGTTCTTCATGCTCTCCTGCTGTTTTGCTCAGTATCATCGATGTAGGCTGCAGCATGGGCTGCTCCATTAGCAGCCAATTTTCTCCCAAGGTGTCCCAGCTGTTGCAGAGCCTTTGCTAGTAGTGTTCCCAAAGGAGGGGTGAGCTGGTGTGTGGGAGCCAAGTGGTTTCTCTCCCTGCACATATGAAGCACAAATACTTGGTATCAGCCTTGACACGATTCTCTCCCCAGCAGGTTTGGGAATTATTTTGAGTATTCAGGGGACAGAAGGGTGTCTATTTGCTGTCCTACAGCAAGTGGAGTTTCTGTGGGTGGTTTTCTCACAGCTTTGTGTCCCCACTGCAGTAACATGGCTGGACTTCACCTTGGAGAGTGATTGCTCTGAGACCTGGGTCTATGCCATGGGCTCCCACAGCACTAATCTTCACTCAGTCCTGGGCCTTTCCCTCCACCATCCTAGTCCTTAGCATCTTGTTAATGAGGCCAAGCATCTGTTTTGAGCACAGCAGTGAACATGCCCTGAACAGTTGTGAGTTGTCTTACCAGCTTGTTATTTACGTGCTTGTTCAGGTCACATACTCCCCAGGGTAGGAGTGAGACCTGTGCTCAGCCCATTTATCTTCCATGAGTTGAGGAGAATAAGGAAAACATTTACCTTCTGACTGATGGATGGTCCATTCA